CTTCCTCGCAGGCTTCGATATTTGGGGGATTTTTGGAAAAACATCGGAAACTGAGAAGAAGCTAGGAAAATGTGGAAATACGGTAGAACCTTTCAATGGATTTTCCTTCCTATACCGAAAGCCGCTGACAAGTTGACTGGAAAGCGACAGATTAACCATGAAATAATAAAGAATCCGCATTTGTCCCATAACTGATGCTCTTTTCGTTTTGTTTTCATCTAAAGGCACACGAAAAGGGAAGACGAACATCATCTTCGGTTTTTCCCCACATAAAAAGTTTTGCTTCAAAATGTATTTCACATCTCTGGTTTTCTTCTCTCTCCAATTGGTCAATTAAGTTCCTTGGATATTGCACAAATACAGGGAGGATGTGATTATATGACATCCAGAAGGATAAAAATCCTGACAAAATAACAAGGTTCCTGTTATGATGACAAAGTAGGAAACCCAAAACGAAAAGAACGCGATATCAAGCGTATTATTAGACCTATTACTTCGATCTGAACATGTGACAAAAAAGTTCACACAGGGTTAATAATTCTGGAAAATCCAGAGCTCACCAAAGAGAACATTTTAAAATTTAATTCAATGGAATTTAATTCAGATTGCGCGCTTGCGAAACGCAAATTGTCGTAGTATATGATGTGCCCTTCGTGATCTTCACACGATGTTTTAATCGACGTCATCTTTTGCAGTGGTTGGCTTCCCATGGCTGCTTTTTCTGCATTTTTCAGTCATGTTATGTTCGCTCGTGATCAGTGTCTTCACGCTATTGATCCTGAACATATCGCTTCTGATTCCGTAAGTTATATTTTGATTCGATGGGTTTCTTTCCAGATGAAGCCGTCAAATGCCCAACGGAATGGCGACGAAGACGAGTTTCCTGACCCCGCTTTATTGTCTTTCCGAGAAATTCCTTCTGGAGATCATTCCCTCACCCCTCAAGAACTGTGCGCCTTCGATGACATGGCCACCAGCTTGGTCGTCGACTCGGTGCTTAACTTCCAAACCCACAAAATGCATCCGAGGTGAGTTTTGAGCATTTTTGGCGCTTGGGTTGCAGGTTCCTGCACTTATACGAATTTCAAAGGCAGCTATTAAAGAAGGATCTATTTCGGATACAACTCCTTTGTTTCTTACTAGAGTGCTGAACTAGTTGAACTTTCCGGTCTCATACCAGAGTCATTTAGCGCTCTAGGTGCACCCTGAGTCAGGAATTCCAGCCATTGAAAAGATATTCTTCCTTCAATTTTCCACTAGGGCCCACTGTACACGAAATGTTCACCAAGGCCTCTTGTTCACGTTTTGCTCTCCCATGGTAGGACTACGTTCAGAATCTAGGCTACACAAGTTGGGGGGGGGGGCAAAAGAAACACCGCGCTCATGGCGCGTACCAACTGAGTCCACATAGCACAAGATGGCAAGATTCGTTGAAATCCCAGCGCAGAATATTTTTTAGATGTTTTTTTCAAGCGAAAGCCCTCCTTCGTGAAAACATGAAGTCATCCGTTGACGAGCACTAGAAGAGCCACAGAATTGGCGCTATCTGGAAACGGCTTCGCGATTTTAGGGTTCAGTAGGTCGTAGACAGATTTGCACGCGAGGGTTTGCTTCAGGGGAAACGTTGGAAGTCCCATCGTTCGGATAACATCGCATGGTTTGGAATTTGTTCTGGGGCAGTTCGGCGGGACGAGTGCATTTTGCACTTTTGCTGAGTTGACAGGTTTTATCGTGGTGGCTCGACGAGCTTGCTCCAGCTTCACAAGAGTTCACAGGTTTCATTGGAGTGAGACTTGTAAACCGGAACTAGTGAAGCAGCGAAAGTGCAAAATGCCCCCCCCCCCGCGAAGCTGCGCCTTTGTTCTACGACTCAACCCTGCCACTGAAGCAGAACACGCGTTGCGTTGTGCATTGTGACCATTTTCTGAAAATTACGACCACCCTAATTCCATACTACGACCCCCCCCCCTTTTACAGCGTCCGTGAAAAAAGAGAAATCAACTATCAAAAAAATTTTCCGTGAACAAACGACCTCCCCCCCTTGTGATGATCACAACGATGGCGTACCCTGCACTGAAGATCATCGTCAACCTACTGAGATCGAAGCACATCCGTTCCATGATTTCTCAAATGGCTAAGGTAGAGACCAAAATTGGGAAGATGATCCATTGTGTCCACTTATCCTCCTCACCAGGAAATGGTTCCAACTTCTCATGGAACCTTGACTAGGGTTTATATTATGTCGATAGAGTTTGAAATGCTGCTCACAAAGATGGAAATCATAGTTGCTACCTGAATCTACCAAGGAAGCTACAAGCGTTCCAAATTGAAATTGGTCAAATATTTGTCCGTGGTGCGCTCATAGCTCGGACACTGTGTGTTTTCACGCAAAACGGCAAAGATTTTCGTGTTATGGGGTCATACTACCCGCGGGGATAGCTTTTCTGCCAGACTTACGCTCTAAGTTTGCTGGTGCGCCATCAGTGTGTTGCATCATTGCAAAGTATGAGTGCTCATGACTTGATTCTAAGATACAAACAGCAGTTCCTTTCCCCTCCCCCCCGCTCCCATTTTTTTTCGTATCAGCATTTCACACCTCCCCCCCCCGCTCCCACTTTTTTTCGTATCAACATTTCAAACCCTTATCAAAGTAGAAAGTCTCTATTCCAAATTCTATGAGGGTTCGAAACCATTCCCTGGTTAGCGCGACATCAACTGTACTGCATATCTTAGACCTGTGCCTGTTTACCCCCCCCACCCGTATTTCGAGCAACTTAGTCGTCATCCATCATATGTCACCATGTGAAAATCTGGAACGGAACAGTATCCATTCGATTTCCCTATGATGCTGGAAGCGTACCATAGTCTTTTCTCGTAAAGGGGTGTATCTCCGTATCGTGACGGATTTCATCTTTTTGCACTTTGACGCTGATAACCTTGGAAGTGGATATTTGAAGGAGATCGGTAAGACTGGGATTGCCGTCCAGGTTGCATTCGTACACAAGAAACCCCCGGGATTCGCCGGACTGAGTTAAAGGAATGTATACATGATAATTTAAATCACGTTCTCAATTTCGTGAATAATTTCGCGGAGTCTGTCGATAAAGACTGGACGATCCTTCCATTAAGCCGAGGTGATAACTATCCTGATGAACAAGCGATATCGTTGTTGTCAAACTTGCCCCACCTTCTTCTATGCGCTGCAAACGAGAACTGGAGTCAGGACTGCTATCTTTTCTACTGGTACCGGTTTCCCTCATAACTATTCTCGTAAATCTGCGAGGGTTGGGAATAAATGCAGGCGTGAAAACAGGCGATCGATCGAGCGACAGCAATTTTTCGGTAATACGTCATTTCCTGTGCCGCATATAAAATCATTCCGGAATGTGAGCACCACTGTGTTGAGGAACGAATTGTTGTGAGAAGGTACAGCTGTGCATGCCCCAGGAGACAAATAGCCTTCGCAGAGTCAATTTTTTTGAATCTCTTCATTGTTCAGCCTCCTAGCGGGCTCTAGTATCGTCACAGTCAGTCATTAGCTGGCTATGCACTATGAATATAAATGAGATCGTTGGTTTAATGACTGCATGATAGACGTTGGTTCGGAGGCCAGTGCACATTATCGTTGCGGAATTCACAACGAGAAGGTCGCATTTTATGTCTTTCTAGGAGGCATCATCTTGGCTTGCAAATAGGCGGGGTAGGGGGGGGGGTAGCCACAGTTTTCGGCAACTCCTGGTCGACGTTTTTTTCTGGGGAACACGAGCTAAAGTAGGTGAAAGACTGAGGACGGAAGATTGTCGAGTGAGAATCTTACTGCAGGCACTTGGAAGTACTGGGGGAGGGCTTGGGGGATGCTGGAAAATCAACTCTCCTCTTCCCATATTTCCTACTGAACTAGTGAAGACTGGAAATGCTAAAAACATTCGAGCTTTAGGTAATGGTGATCGGTAATACTTAACAATTGGACAAGTTTTTCGTGGCTAATTAGTGACCTGCCGCGTCCCGGAAAGGATTTACACACAGATTTTCCTTTTATCCTTTATTGGAATCGCGAGGGTTTTTCTTTCGCCTCTCTCCTCTCTTTCTATTTACATCTTTGGTAGCAAATAGTCCCATGTGCCTTGTTTATGGTCCAAGATTTGTGTCCAGTGAACTTTAGGTGCCAGTCATTTATTAGGTCATCCCATTCAAAAACCCGAACATAATAGATAACGGCCAGAAAGCAAAGGATAGGAAGCGGCTACTATACCTTGCGAGGCTAGTACATTAAGCTGTAGATCTGTGAATTGGCAGACCTACACACAGAAAACTTCTCGAGAGAAGCTTGAAATGAAGCCCCGATCGTAAAAATCACGCTGATTTCAAATCAACCTCATAAGAGAGCCCTGTCAAATTCGACCGATCGCCGACCAGTAGTTCGGTAATGGGTTTTACATACAATGATAAATGCTCAGGAGCCCGAAAGGAGAAAGAAAAGTTTATTCATCTGGATGTCCCATAAGCTTCATCTTGCACAAAAAAAAAAAAAAGGCTGGATGAAGTCAACGCTGATGTCTATATCGCAGAGCCTGAACTTTGTCGAGTCATTTGCCACGCGGAGACTGAATCCCAGCTCTGCAAACTGCTGCCCGAGTTATGTCATAATTACTGTGCAAGGGTGATAGCGGATGTACGCTCATTTTTTCTACAAGCATAAAACCGCTAACTATTTCTCGCCTCTAGCATAATGTTCCAGCATGAGATGTCATCACGAATGTGAAACGCACCCCGCCCTATATCGAAATATGGGTGTTTGACTCGAGCCAAACTCACAATCGTCAATTTTGATAAGCAGATGAGAACCGTCGATTCTACCAAGGACTACGTAAGTTCAAGGGGAGATGGACTCCATTCGATGAGGTCGATTTTCGAATTTTTCGCTTTATTAAAAGCGATAGGACCAAAGTGATGTGTAAGTAGAGCTGCCTACTTTGTACAATAACCTGGTACGTGCCATCCTCTCCAATTCCATATTCATAGCCAATCACCCATTGAGTCTTCGCTTTCCGAATAGTAGAGAAAATGATCTTTCGAATGATTCTTGTCATCCATTCGAGTCTGTCAAACTTACATCTTAATAAGACTGTGTCTCTACACGGTGTATATCCAGTAACACCGCTTGAATCCCACCAATATACACACTGAAACTAATCCCAGCCTCTCAGTGTTACAATTTACTGTTCTGTTTGAGCATCCTGCTGAGCGCATGTGCATGATGTTACGCAAGCCTCCAAACACTCGCTACAACCACAAATCTCACAAAATTTCCTTCGTGGTACAAGGAAAAGAAAACTCAGTCACGGTCATTCGGTATGACTTGTCAGAGGGTCCAACTCATGAGGCATCCTTCACAAAAATTTTTACCGATAAAAGGTTTTTATTCCACCATGCGGAGAAGCACGGCATGCCACTCAGGTGAGCCTAAAGGTGCCAACTCTACGGGATCCTTTGGCTGCCCTAAGAATCTGATATAAGGCACTCATTTCTCTGCTGTGGACTTTACTTGCCTAACTACAAATTAAAAAGCAAGCCTGGAACGCTGCATGCAAAAGACCCTATGCCATGGCTCAACTCTTCCTCAAGACAACTTAGAGTGTTAGCTTCCTCCACTCACGGCGACGTGGCCCTACCTGTTACACCTGTGCTCCGTGATCATTTCACTAGCGGGCGCCTAGTAAACTCTCCATCGCCCGCAACTCAAAGAGTGCCCATTAACTCTTCAAGCTCGACGACACGATAACTTCATACCGTTCTTAAGCTTCACGAAGAAGTCATGATCCAATCGCATAGGCTGGCGCTCCAGGCGTCGCATACATCCCGGGAATCCAGTCTGACCTCTGTCAGCGGTCACTTCTCGTCCTCGAACCGAACCGCCGGCCCATCTGATTTTACAACCTTGGCGCAAATGCGGCGGCGTCTCTGATCTTCGATCGTTGGCGGAGTGCGGAGCTCCGGATTCCCTCTCTCACTTGCGTGTAGCGGGAAACTCC